ATATTATAAGAGCGTATTTTATAAAGATGAACAAAGACACGCCAAGCTAGTAGAAATCAGCTGTAACTATTTTATGCTAATTTTTTGCTAGTCCTTCTTTCTGCTTGTTTTGAGAGCAAACAAATTTTACTATAAAAATTATCATAACTACTGTACGAGAACAAAGGATTTCTGTTGACGTCCCGCAAATAGCTGATTCTATCAAATTCGCCAAGGTAAATAGCGGTACTGCTGAAGGCGCCATCTCGTGAATGTGCGGCAGCACACTTGTCTGCATTGTTGACGTAGCTCATTTTTGGTAGAAAATTCTTTAGTATACGAAGTACATTCAATATTTCTATTGTGTAAATTCGCGGGTCAATACGATTAAGTATGAACTAATAAAGTTTCGGTATTTCGATATTTGTGAAGAAGTGCCAAGAATAAATAGATCCTGGAAATCTGTGTCAATAATGATAAGTATGGTTTTAACCCTCTAGTATGAAAATTTTTTTATGAGTTGAAAAATTCAGGAATGGGTGAATTTAGCACGAGAAATCCAAAAATGATGTCCATTTCGATCTGTGACAGTAACTTTTTCCTACAGGGGAGAAAAACCAAGACCGTCTGGAGACGGGCTCGCCGATATACTTACACATATTTTCAGCTTTCTCTTACACAATGTTGACCTACGAACCGGCAATCCCGTCAGCAACGGTCAAAAATGCAAAACAGGGGTTTTATATGTCGGCCAGCTGGTCTGTAAACGGTCTGTGTTCGAAAGCAATTTTCTCCATTTCGAATGGTGACATAATTATAAAACTTATATTAAAATACGGTGCTTTTAACAACGAAATCAACCGAATTTTTTATATCAAAAAAAGAAAGAATCTAAAGAAAAAATTTCTTTAATTACGAAATTACTAAATAGCAAGAAATAATTAATTTTAACCGTGTTTTCAAAATCTGTAATTCAACTGCCGATTAAAATAAAACGGATTGACATAACGGATTAAAATTTACACCGCCGTAAAGGTACGATTTTTGTCTAAAGGTCGTGCCTTACGAATATAGAAAAAAATTATTATAGGTGCACTAAAAAGGTATTTAGTTAACGACCGTCTGGAGGCGGTTCAGCCTACTAGAGTAGCGATGCCCAAATCAGCACATACATATGTATGTGTCGCGGGCGACTGCGCGTGCAAAGCTTTGCACAGCGGTGCTGGGCAAGCGCGGAAACAAAAAGTTATCGGAAGGGGAAAACGAAGTCAACAGAACCCTGCAAAAAGTGGGACTAGGTTAAATACTAGTACAGGACCATGCTACCTTGTAACCAAAATGGTCCAAATATATGGAGAAAATATGGTTACATTAACATTGCGACTATTAATAGTGAGATTGTATGTGTGACAGTGATGGAAAATGAGTGTGCATTGTGCCATTTCCGGCCCTTTCGGAAGCAGCCGGCACCTTCAGCACAATCGATTGATTTTCGGCACTATTTTTGCGTAACTCAATGCAACTAATAAATATTTCTTTCGGATCCGCAATTAAAAATATTTTTTTTTTACATTTAATCGTATGTGCTTAAACTGATAAATGATATAAACATAGAAACGCAAGCAGAAGAATCTCGCTTCCACGTTCTGCATATGCGCTTAACATTTTTGTTTAAACAAATTTGTCGAATTTTCATCTCTAAAGCAAATATTAAATATCATTTAATATATACTTTATGCTTAGTTCCCGGGTGACTTCTTGGAAAGGTTCACCTGTAATGAGTAGCTCGGCTTTTCCTAGTTGCAGGCAGTCACAATTAATTACTCACCGCTGTCGGTACCTTAAGCCATCAAATCTGTTTTGTTGTTCCATTCCATGCGCTCAATGTGAGGCAATTGAACGCAAATTTTCAACATATCGTTAATACTATATTAAAAGGGCGTATAACCTAAAACGATGTGGTACTTACGATTCGATGAAATGCATCATAATCAATCAAAAAGTGAATTTTGAATTTTTAGTTAGTTACGGCTTTTTGTAATTCAGCGACGATGCACAGTGGTTCGGATAGCAGATCTAGCTGGACGAAAGTCAAAATTTTTTTGTTTTTAAAATACTTAATGGTACTTGGAATACATTCCTGACAATACATTCAAAGAGAAATTGCATTTATTAAAGCATTAACATATGAAAACAAACAAAAATAGGTAAGTCAACGCCGCCTATTTGAGAACTCTATTTAAAAGCTGAAATTTAACTTAAAAGACTGCTAATTGCACTCACAAATATTTGCATAATTGAAAATTGACTTTGTTAACAAAAAATTACACTTATTCCGCTATAGATTCAGGGGTCATAACGCAATTTATGTCCACATTGGTATAAGCAAATTTATTCTAAAAAATCGTCGTTTTGATTAATTAAAAAAATAAATTAAAGAGTAGGAAAAGTAAAGGCCGCCGAAGGCCGTTATAAAACCACTTGCATATTACTCTTTACACCTTCGAAAATGCAGAGGGTAAGTTCGAAAACCAAGTCTAACCAATTGGCTTAGATATTTACATTTTAGTCACGGTATGTCAAATCTCAAAATTCAAAAGTAATTAACAGGAATGTATCTGAATATAAATATAAGATCAGTGGCGGATCCACGGGGGAGAGGGGGGTTAGGTGTTAAAACAGAAAAATACTTGGAGTTATAAAACCTTTGGTTATGTAAGAGTTAAAAAAAATAGTACCTCGCGAATTTTCTGCTTTCTGAAATTAAAAAATTATACAACAGGCATGCAAATCTTTAAGCGCTGTTATAAAATTTTTTCTGAAATTTATTTGTGTTTCTTGCTGTGATCTTAAATTTTAGTCATGGTAAATAAAATCTTAAGAAGTGAGTTGTTTGACATTTGATGTTGCTGAAACTTCTAAAAGACAACAAGGTATCCGTGATTATGCGATTAGTAAATTGAAAGAAATATCTGATGAAAATGCTCGTTCCGAAGTAAATAAAGTAAATTAAGTAAATGACTTTAGATTCGTAATCAGCAACCCAGAAAATCCCCAGAAACCCAGTTACATAGAAATCTACCGATTTTTTTTAACTTTTCGTCCGCCATATTGGATCCGCCATTTTGAATTTTTGGTAAATGACTTTAGATATGTAATCAGCGACCCAGAAAACGCCAGGTAAATAAAGTAAATTAAGTAAATGACTTTAGATTCGTAATCAGCAACCCAGAAAATCCCCAGATACCCAGTTTCAAAGATGCATCAACGAGTATTTGTTTAAATAGTTTCGTCCAGCTAGATTTGCGATCCGAACCACTGTGCGATGTGTGTTAATCCCTTTCCATACTATACTAACGATATATTACAAGTCCCACTCCTCAATAGATATAAAATTCATATGACTGTCAACTTTTTCATATTCCATTTTATCGTTATTTCGATGCGTGCTTATTTTTAAAATTAAAATTTTTACAGAAAATTAAATAAATATTTTTGATTTCGAGCTGAAAGACATATAAAAGAAAGCACGGAACTTAAATTTAATAAGTTTTATGAGAAAAAATAATAATTACACATTTCTACCAAAAAATAGAAAATACTAGCGATGCATCCAGTTTTTTCAACAGACCTTTGACAAATAATGGCTGCATTTCTTTATTCATTCTAAACGTTTGGAATAAACTTATTTGTTTACTTATTCTTCAGAACGTTCCTGATGATATGTTAACGTGTATTTCAAACGCATTCTGTTTATTCTGGCTGTGAAATGGGATTATGGATCGAATAAAAAAACGCAGCCAATATTGATAGTTACATAACTCATACCTAATTAGAGGTTATCTTTTAACGAGCAAATAGTCGACTCTCTTTAACTATAGGCAGCTGTTAAACATTTCCGCTGGAAATACCTACTATTATCTTAATTTTTGACTCTAAATTATAAAAGAGGTGGACGTAGGGGGACAATCTTAACATAGCATCTCCACAGGCAAAAAATGTTGGGTATAATTTTTTGTTTGCCAGATATACGTTTTATCAATGCACTTGCGCAATATTCGCATTCGCAAAAGCTCCACATTGATTATTGCGAATGCGAAAGCGAATGCAAATTTTAAAATTTATGCGGAAGTTCCGCGGTTGCGAATGCGAATGCGAATATTCGCAACAACCCCGGTATGTAAATATGTAAATATCTATGTAGCTGTAAAAAGCTTCATATGAATTTTTTTAAAAATGCATTATGCACTTATTTTTCAACTAAAAAAGAAATTTTAAACTACAATCAACTACAAACGATTCTGGACCTGAATTCATTAAAATTGAAGCTGTAGCAGTAAAAAGCTTCATACGAATTTTTTAAAAAACTTACGCACTTATTTTTCAACTGCAAACAAAAAGAAACTTACTACAATACTCCAGAGAGTTAAATCTAGGTATTTTATCAAAATGCATTAAGGTCCGCTGCCAACTTCACGGAGCTGTAATTTTCACCATACCAAAAGGTTTGTGACAATTAAGGAGCCGCGGTTGTACTTTGATTTATATGTTTTTTTAGAAAAAAATACAAATCGCTGTAGATTTATTAGAAACTTTAAGATTGGCAATGGAAAATGCGCTTAAATATAGACGTAGTTTTTCATTTCTCGCTGTTTTTCCACCTCTAGCAACAATATGCCAGGTACGCAAAATGTCCCGATCTCAAAAGATTTCCTCATATGTGTACAATTTCGATTTTTACCACTACTGTCGATTAGTAAATAGAATTTTTAAATTATATGTACATATTTTAAGAGTTCGGAATTATTTTACAACGAGATGTGGAGATTTTTCCTTGCCAAAAAGTAGGACATTTACCTTTCCGGCATGTGTAGTACTGGGACTATGCTCTTAAATCCGGGACAGTCCCGCCGAAAACGGGGCGGTTGGCTACCGTGCTTTGCCGGTATGTTGGAGTCTTATTGATATTACACATCGTTGGTAAAAAAAAAAATAATTCGTTTATAAATATTATTGTGCTTCTATTTAAATAAATTTTACAAAGTGTAGTTCCATTAAAAATAAACATCTTATTTAATATTTTAATCCTTATATTTAAAATCGAATGAAGACTATCCACCTCAAGCTCTGACTTCTATGCTTAATAGCGGCTCCACTTCATAGCCCAAAGTAACTTTTGGCATGAAAACAATATCATGATATTTAAAAGTTGTTGAGAATTTAAGACTGCGGAGTAAAGTTATCAACAACACGCGCAATGTGAATTCTGCGTAACGGAAACCTTTAATGCAAACAGAACAAATTTGGTTTGATTACTGATTGATTTACATAGCTTCTGGTTAATTTACCTATGCAATTGCGCGGTCCTTTTGAGAAAGCCATATACGCACACGGATGACGCTTTGCAATATTTTCAGGTAGGAAGTTGTCGGGGTTAAAACGATCTGCTTCCGGGCCCCAAATCTCTTTGCGCCTATGCAATTCGTAAATTGGTATGACAACTTGCATTTCCTTGGGAATCCTTACACCGGGACGTAGTTCGGTTTCATTTAGTGTTTGTCGTCCAATGCACGGTATTGGTGGAGCTAGTCGCAAAGTCTCTGCTATGACCATATCCAAGTAAGGAAATTTTTTCATATCGTCGTACCCCACTGAAGAGACTTCGTCTGGAAATACAGAACGAACTTCTTCAAATACACGATCCTGAATTTCCGGATGCATCGCTAGCATCACAAGTACCGAGTACACCGCAGTAGCTGACGTCTCGTAGGACTGGAAAAATGTTTAAAAAGTAAGAGACATGTGTGCTTAGCTTACTACTACTATATGTAGGTATGTATGTTCATATATATATGTATACGGGAGGTTCCATGAGAAACTGAACCTCAGCGCACAAAAGTTTTTCTTAATAAAATTAACAAATGTGTGGATAAGACATGAATACAAATCTTGAATCAACCAAAGAATAACAAATTAAGACTTTAAATGCATTTTTTATGTTTTAAAATCAAGTTATAAGCTAATTTTTTGAGTGAGTTTCAAATAGGTTGTGTGGAAAGTACTGTCAAGTAATTTGCGATTCTTAATTCAAGTGTTTGGTAATTAAAAATATGTAGGTGAACTCATCTGCGTTTAATAAAATTGTATTATTTATATATTGAATTGTGTTAGTGCTTTAACTATATTATGAGTTATTATTAAGCAGTATTGGTCTTGTCCCACCCGTGACAAAAAAAGGTAAAAGCTGTTTTTTTTAATTACAAAAGTTGTTATTTTTAATTAGAGAAGTTGTCAATGTTTACCCCAATTGCATTTTCGTTTCCACATACATAGTTAGATAAGAATAATTCAACAGTCAAGCATGTCCCACCCGTGACAGCTACGGGTGGTACAATTGCCAGAGGTAGGTTTACAGGGCTGATAAGCTTTATTTGTTTGTTGAGGTGGACGCAGGGGAGAAGGGCGAAAGCGCGGACTCGCCCATTACCTATATACCTATGCGCGTAGCCAGAACGAAATTTAAATTCAAAACCAATAACTTACTTGCTAAAAAATTGTTTATTATAGCCTAAAATTATTGTAACTAATGGAGGTAAATATGTTGTACAAAAACACATAAACAGAGGTTCACAAATGTTGATACAAAACTATTCATCGATTTAAATAAAATGCTATGAATAAAAATAAATGCTTCTGCACCATATACCAACACGGATATAATGAGTGACTTATAGAGATTGGTTTTCGTACGTCGACTTTACTCCTGAATTGCCTACTCAGTCCAAAGTGAGGCATTTCATGTCACCGCGGCCACCTCTGTGCGCGACCTCTAATGATTTGGATGAAAGAAGAATAGACTGAAGGTCTAGGTGACATGAATATACGTGCAGCATAATTTACCGATATGGGGTAGGGTTGCCTATTTACACGGGACCTACATTTTAAGCAAACGTCATACATACCTTTCTTTAAAGTGCTGTACCTTGGAAACTTAATGAAAAAAAAAATTATTTCTTCCGTCTTTAATTGTACATCTTTTATATTAATGTGCAACGTATAAAAAACAAAAAAAAGTAAACATTTTGCTTTTTGATTTTTTTTTTTTATTGGTAGAGGGCCTCGGTTGTTAGAATTTATTGTGACGTCGGGAGCTGAAGTCTTGCTCTAGCTGCTAGTCACTTAAAATTTCCTCCAATCTCGTCGCAAGCAAATTTCCCATGTGAACTTGCAAGTTCTTGAAAGTTCAATTGTGCTATTTCCTTGAAGGGATTTTCGTAATTTCAGACCCCTTTGTAAAGTTTATATGATTTATTCGTATTGTTTTTGTTTTGCTTAGACTTTGTTGCTTTTTCCATTTGTCCCAAAAATTGTAAACGTGGTACAAAGCACAATAACAGTATTGAAGGAAAACGAATTTTGTACCGCAAATGTTTAGGCTAATTTCTATAGATTTGTTTGAGCTAACACGAATTCAAAAGCTTCCATCAAAAAATGGCGTTTTTGGCGTTTGGTGATTGAACCTTGACACCTTGACCACGTTTTCCTCAAAATCAGAAGGTGATGGAAACTTTTTATTAATGAATCCTCAATAACGTTGAACACGTAATGTAAAATATAGACAACCTTATACGAATCGGTGGAATTTGACTTTTTCACAATGTTATTGAGTTTGCACTTGACGCCAATCCGTCCTCTTCACCAAATTTATCCGCTTCACTCTTAGTGATAGTCATATATATTTTTTTGTCCTCGCCCTTTATTTTTTTTATAAATCCTTACTAATGTTATAAATGTGAAAGTGAGTTTGTTTGTTTGCTACGCTTTCACGCTTTAACTACTCAACCGATCATCATGAAACTTTGTACACTGCTTTCATTTAGCCCAACTTAAAATAAGGATAAATCAAATTTCGATTAGTGAAGGGGGTGTGGCACCTCATATACCTTTTGAAAAAAATCAGATTCAACTGTAACTAAGGGAGTTATTTGTTTGAAAATTATGTTAAAAATGGATGCCAAGAAGCTTAAAAAAGTTGTAGTTCGAACTTATTTTGAAAAGGGTTGCCAGCTGTTTGAGAAGTCAAATTTAAAGTAATTATATGCAAGCTATCTCAAGAATTAAAATATGGTTGTCTAATGAAATATTGGTAAGAAACCTTTAGTTTAAAAATTTAAATAATATTTAAGCCCTTCGCAAAGGTTGCCTCCTTTTTAAAAACTAAATTCAATTATTCCAAATTAAATATTACAGTAAAAGGCGCGCGGTTGATTTATCGGTGGTGATTTAAGTTTTACCCCTGCACAACTCAGCCCTGGTATCTCGGAATGAAACTTTAACCATAATAATACTGGAAAATCACATCCATTGGGCCAATTGTAATACACAAGAGTTCGATATACTCATTGGTGCAACAGGTCGATTTAATCTGACATCCACGAAACCTTTTCTAACTTGGCGATTATTCGTGGATCATAAATAAGATTTTTGGTAATAACTTAACTCCAGCGCCAACTTGCGGGTGAAATTGTGAAACTACACTCAAAAGTACACAAAAAAAAAACTTCGTTAAAATCGGTCTGGGCATTTAGGAAGATTTCACTCACCATTTTTCTCCGTGACTATAAGATTGATTTCATATATTGCCGTACCAAGTTCCGGTATTCTACCATGAACACTTCCAGAGATATAAAGAGATATATATCGAATTTTTTGCGTATAACCATCCTTGGGACGTCTGAAGCAGGTGTCCGAAATCTCAAAATAATCGGTTCGGTCATTCTCGAGCTTTGCGAACACATAAAAACGTCTTTCAAAATATATGTAGGTTATAGATTATAGGTTATAGGTTATAGAAGAATGGTATGAATCGAAATGATTTCGAATACGAGTATCAGACGAAATAGGTTTAAAAAGGTTGTCAATTGTTTAAAAGATTAAATTCAAACTATTCAATAATTTAAATGAATTATTACAATATGGGTATCAATCGAAATGTTTTGTAATGGGCTTTATTTCAAAACTACATGTAAGAGGTTTCCATCTGTTTAAAATCTCAAATTGAGTTCAGGGGATAAGTTAATTGAAAAAGTATGACAAGTGAGAAGTTTAAGAAAGTTTTTGTTTGAAAATATTTTGAAGATGGTTAAACAAATTTGAAACCTCCAGTTTTTTAATTGAGTTTTCTTGAAATAAATTTTACTCAATGTCGCACGTAGAAATTTCATAAACCCAGCGAAGCGGGTGAGGGCGATCTAGTTTTATATAAATGTGATTATTAGTGCCACTACTTTCGAATATCGCCAGATTTGACTGAAAAGTTTTTAAGTCTTGATATAAGAAGCAAGAGATATTAAAAATTCATCGTTTCGAAAAGAATTAAAAATACTTGGTTTATTTTTTAACTTACTTAAAAAAAGGAGAAGGTTATCAAGTCGTCGGAATAATGTTTTTTTTGTATGTATGTTACCGCATAACTTTGGGCAACGTTAACCTAGTTCTATAATTATTCTTTTTTAAGGAAAGGTGGTTCCTGATACATCATATCATTATTATTTTGTTTAGATCCGATATTTGGATCATGAAGAAATTGACGGTACTCTTTTGTGTTAAAAAATTAGATACTTGTTCTCCTTTACTTTCAATTAAATGCAAATTTGCTAGGTAAAAAACTAGGCACCGAAAATCCGATAAGGCCAAAATGATACCAAATATTTTAATAAAGACCCATATAAAGTTTTGCTTGTGTTTTAAAGTTTTGCGAAATACTAGAAAATGGCTATTAGGGATGTCGGAAAACCAGCGATGCATCGAAAATATCAATGTTTTGCATCGAAAATGATCCACTCGATTTATAAATAGTAGATGTATCGATGCATCGATGTTTTTTTAAAACTGACATCTCTAGTACATTGAACCGTCATTCTGGATTTTCAATTGTACAAAATATAGTGAGACCTTTGACCAACAAATTTTAATGGCTCCAAAAATTCGGTTAACAATATAATTAGCTCAGTTGCAGGAATTTATTTCAAATTTTCTACACTTTTGCTAATAACATTTTTTTTTTTGTGAAACATTACCTGAAAAATCCTATGCAAATCGATGCACCGATGTATGCCATCCGATGCAGCGGATCAAAGAAAACCATCAATGTATTTTTGCCTCTGACATCCCTAATGGCTATAAGAAGTTTTTTTTCCTCCCTTGTAAAATTTATAAAAACGGACTTATCAGACTTTCATTCTAAGCTAGCGATACTTAAGTAGACTATACCCAGCAAAAAATCGGTAATCGCTTTAGTGGTAACCTGTTCCGGAAGACATAGCGTTATAATGCCTTTGTTTCCGCGTGGTGTTGGTAGTCCACCGCATGTTCCGCACCGGTGCCAAGAGATTGAAAGATGGAATCTCCTTGTAGAGCTGAGAGCCTTTTGTGAAAGTCCTCGGCTGACCTTCGTCAGTGAAGCTTCTCGAAGTCGAGCTTCGTCGGGCTACAACAAAGTAGTGAACCGTTACTATGCCGGCTCGTCATATAGAACGCACAATCGCTTAGGCTTTTATAGTGCCAAACTATGTAGAAGAAACATATTTGTATGTTTGGGCTCAACTTTGATGCAGGTCCACGTCGAATGTTGGACACTTGATGCCCCGTTCATAGGACTTCCTTTATGGCGGTTATATCATTCTCATATTTATCAACGACATCCCGCATTTATATATATGTAGGTATCTTGTTTATAGAGAGTCCAAACAATACAGGAGCATATCCGTTATTCGAAGTCCTACTTTAGTGTACTATATTTTTCAATTTGTTGTTAGATTTTTATTCTATGCTCTCTGCATATTTTCTTTTTAATTAGGTTTCTATGTGGCGGATCGAAAGCCTTTCAAACATCCTATTGCTAGGAGGTTTTCTAAAGGATTTACATTAATGTATCCAGCCACTGGCTCAAAGTAAGACGACCGTTACTGGCGAACAAACGATATAGATTTCAGTGGACCCTTCAATAAGATATGGTTGAGATGTCCCACTAGAGCTCCCACTCTTTCTGGCGTAATCCAAAGCTGTTCACGGGTTGGCTACCGAATCTCGTACGCGTAGATCTTACATTGCCCAGGGTGGTTGAATGCGGACACAAAAGAAAGCATTGAGTAGAGTTGAACAACTATTTATAACTGCTTGCCCAGAAGACACCAACGTTTAACATCGCTTATACTGGTTAAAGGAAACCATGACATACGAAATGTAGGAATTTCACTGTTGGAAGTGATATCGCGTGAATACAAATCGCTCTTACCGAAACCGCTGTCTAGCGGCCAGTGACAGGCTCTAAATATACCCTATTTGAAATTTTACAAGGATCGGGAATTCTTTCAGGCCTATTTAGTAGCTCATTAGTAGTCATCGACTGTTTAGCTTTATAAATTTTCCCCACATTGTTGACGAGCGAGGCGGCACTGAGAATCAATAATTAAAGTATGAAGGGAAAATAACGAATTAAGCAAACATAAATGTCACTTTGATACAGTGATCGGACTTCAAAAAAATTCTGTGTTGTAGAATCTGGAAAAAAATGTTGTAGATCTTTGCGTTTGGATCAAACTTTGTATATAAATTAAAAAAATTCTGCACATGGCAAACCTTTTAATTAGACTCTAAAAAATTTAATTTAATATAATAAAGTGCAAGATTGAAGTTGCTAAAAATTGCGTTGAGTTTTGGAAATTATTTTTCATATTAAGATATTTTTCGAACATATTTTAAGAGATTTCTGCAACCTTGCGGAGTGCTGCCAGCTATTCTTTTTACACATCACGAGGTGGCGAAAAAATGTGGCACGTTCCAGAAACAGCTAATTGGGATTTGCTGATTTTTACAATTTTCAAGTAAAAGTAAGCAGAAACCTTTCGTGCACTTAAATGTGCTAATAATAATAATAATAATAATAATAATAGATTGACGCTTACACATATGTTAGTGTTTGGCCGAGCTTCTCCTCCGATTTGTGGCGTGCGCCTTGATGTTGTCACACAGAGCGGAGGGACCTACAGTTTTACGCCGACTCCGAACGGCGATTGTATTTTTATGAGAAGCTGTTTTTCATGGCAGAAATACACTCGGAGGTTTGCCATTGCCTGCCGAGGGACGGCCGCTGTTAAGAAAAAACCTTTTTCCTTATTTTTTTGCGATGTTGCTTTGACCAGGCCTTGAACCCAGGTGCTGTGGAGTGGAAGCGCGCACTGCTTACCACTACACCACAGCGGCCGCATTAAATTTGCTAATACTTTCACAAAAATCACCGTTTTTTAACATTTTCGCTATTAATTCTTTTTACGAATCATATATTTTGCAATTTAACACAATAAAACTCCGTTTTCTGTCTAAAAATTGATTACTGAGAAAATTTACTATTTTACAATTTATTTTATGCTCCCATTCGGATTTGTTTACTTATGTCAAGAAAAAATAAAACTACTCAAAAACGCCGAATATGTGGTAGATTTCAGACCTTGAGTGGTAGATGTGGTAGATGCTCAAAAAAGTGGCAGATCTACCACAATGTGGTAGAAGTCCGATCACTGCTTTGATAGTTGTAAAAATTTGTACTTCGCCCCAGGGATCGAACATAACAGTTATTGATGAAAACTGTCATGGAAAAACTCACTTTGAAGGAAATGTTCTACAGCTAAGAGATGCATACCAATCGATTTCTTTTTTCGCCGAGACTCAATTTTGAAAACAAATTTTAATTTGCAATTTTTATGCAAAATTAAAAAAAGAAACAATTATTTTTAATTTTTGTATTATAAATCCAAAATAAGAAATGTTTTTGATTTTTATATTATGTCAGGTGACAGTTATTGAAGATTTTTATTTATAAAAGTCATCAATAAAAATCAGTCAGTGACTTTTACTTTTAAAAGTCATCAATATAAATCAGTCACCTACTTTCATTTTTTAAATCATTCATATAAAAGTCATTAACATGTTTCGCAGTTAAGAAGGTGTTGGGAAACAAAAGTTTACTACGACTTATACAAATGACTTTTATAAGTATGATTTAAAAAATAAAGGTCAGTGACTGATTTTTATTTATGACATTCATGAATAAAAGTCTTTGATAGCTGTTATCTAAGACATAAAAATAAATAATATTATTATTTAAAAATATAAAATAACTGTTATTTACAGATTATTTAGATAAAAATCAAAAATAATTATGTTGCATTTATAAAATAAAAATCATCAATAACGGTTATTTAAGGAGCAATTAAATTAACATCAAAAACTAATTGTTAAAGAGCGATTTTTTTAATAAAAGTTGTAACTATTACGATCCATGCTTCGCACCATGCTCGCCTATGTTGCAAAGTGTGCAGCACTTTTAGTGCCCTAGCTCAATGGTGGCAACAAACTGGCGATGGTGTCAAATTCCGAAATTCACTGAGTTATCCAGTAGTATTCAGTTCTCTAGATCTCTTTAAGATGTAGCTTTAAATTTGTTTAACAGGTAACATAATCAACGGAAATAACGTCAATTGATAATATTTCCCATAGTGATGCGCAATAAAATCAGTTGGAGTTATTACCGTTTCAAAAGAGAAATAAAGTAAAAAAAATTAGAAATAAAGTAAATGATGCAATGCTTAAAGTATGTCGAGTCAAAGAAAAAAATGTTCTTCCATCGTTACAATAAACATTGCCCCGTAAGTGATTTCATAGATGAAAGAGGTTACTGCCAAATCCTCAGTGCTATTAATCAACACAATCATAACCCAGCACCAATTGATTTTATTAAAAAATTTTAAAATTGCGAATATAATAAAAACCCAAAAAACCAAACGCAAAAAAGCTGGAATACGAGAAATATTTGATGAAAAATGTAGAAAGGATCCAGATTTGGTAAAACATGTTTCGTTTCCAAAAATAATGCGAACACTATTGAATCAACAGAATGCTTTTAAAAAATTATGTAAAATGCCGCTGATGCAAAATGCCTTGGTTGCGAACAAAGCAAACATTTTTCAAAAACAATAATAAATTTAAAAATGTAAAATATGTAAAATATATGAAATATTTAAGAATAAAACTTAAAAAAAGGATATAAAAAAATTTTCTACCTACATACATATGTAAATTACAGCACGACGGGAGAGGAGGAAGGGTGGCGCAACGCGGTTTGGTGTGAGGACGCGGACCACGGGTCGCGGCGAAGCTAAGCAAATTTAATGTTTGAGAGAGCAATAGTGTCAACGGATTTTATTTCGCTGTTGAAAAGGTAATAATGCAAATTGATTTTATTTCGCACCCATATGCGAAATAGTGTCAATTAACGTTATTTTCTTGGTTATCTGTCACCTAAATTTTGGTATAGACGAATATCTGGGAGCGAATTAACGGTATACTTGAACAATCTTATTATCGAAAAAAAAACAATTCATCTATGGGGCAAAATTAGCCAAGTACACCAGGAAAATATTGTATGTCAACATAAATTGTTTTTTTTTTGCGACTTGCTTATTTCGACGGCGCATTTTCTAAGCTCTCCAACGATATATAGATATAACACAAGTTTATGTTCAGAAATGAAAATGTAGCCCGACTTGCCACATTTTAATATACATCCTTGTCTAAAATATAGCCGAATTTCGGGTTTTTGAGATTTGAAAAAAGTGCACTCATTTAATTACAATTTTCTGAATCAGTTGGCCAATCGCGATTTTTTTGTATGAATTTTTATAAATAATTTTCTTCTAAATCCGAATACGAAAAAAATTGCAAAAAATTATTGTGCCCACCATATAGCACGGAAAAAGTTCTAATAGGTCAGAAATTGTTGATTGTCTATTACTACGTTTATACGGACAGAATAATCGACTTAATTGAAAGCGCATTGACACCGTACACATTTCGCTCTAGTGTTTATACTTACGGCTTTATTTCGGCATCAAAGTAACCGTCTTCAAAAGCAAACAAAATAAGCTGTTTTCATTTGACATTTTATAAGTTAACATAATGGAAAGTGATAAATTTCTAATTTTATTCGGCATTATAAAATCGTGGCAAAGAAAAAGAACGATTATTATTAATCAGCTTTTAAATACTGATGCGATTATTTGGAATTTGAGCGGAACAGCTGACTTCCAATTCGCTTTGAGTGAGAGCGGTGTTTATACACTCTTTCTAACTGTCTGGAGAAATAAACTACCGATTTGAAATGGATTGTGAGCCAAAACACTTCGCTCTTTCAAAGCGAATTGAAATTCAGTTTATACATATGTTTTGAATCGCGGCGAAATGAATTAAAGCGAGTTATGCATGCGTATAAACGTAGTATATCATAAGATCATATCATATTAAGAAAAGTTGCATGTTTAAACTCATATAACTCAACAAAATACCGCGAAAAAAATCTTTTAAACATTGATTACCATTAACCATAGCAACAAGGTGGCTTGAACAAAATGCCGACATAAAATTTTTTCCTGGTGCCCTTAGCGAGTTTTTCCCCCTATCTAAATAAACTTTTTAATATTTACCGCAGCAATCATTGAAAAACTCTGAATTTCCACTTCTTTGACATTGTATATTCCTTGTTTCATAGCTTTTAGCGTCAAATTAATTACCGTTTGTTTGCCGTCTTCGTATTCATCCGACTCGGCTTTGAGAGAGGGATTTTTCTTAATCAACTGCAAGTTAATGAATTCAATATTTATTTGTAATTTATCCAGTCGATGAATTCATTTTATTCTTATCAAGTGTTTTTGTACTTACATCGCGTACTAACTCTCTTAAAAATTTAAGTGTTTTTTTGTAATCTGGCGTTAGAGTTAGAAATCCTAAGCCCACCGAGGAGTAAACTGAATTCTCTGCCATGTGATGAACCAAACTGTGTGTTGGAAATATAAATGTCGTAATTTAGTAGAAATCGAATTGTGTGTGAATGCTGGTAATTTACTTACATGTTAAATGCATTCAAAATCTCGTTATACTTCTTAGTTCCTTCTTCCATTTTCATGCCCATTATAGTCACTGTAATTTAATAAAGCATATACACATAAGTATTACGGATGTGACACAATTAGGGGATTCACAAGACGTGTTAACCGTCGTAAAATCTTAAGGTTAACATCTTTTTTAATTAAAATGGTTTTAGGGGATTTCTAACTAAACCGAAATTCTTATAAACTGATAAAGAATATATAATTAGCCAACCCCCCAACCATTTTAACCGCTATTTTACATAAACAAGTGTTAAGCTTAAGATTTTACGACGGTTAACACGTCTTGTGAATCCCCTAAATAAATGTTGCAGATTAACCATATTTTAATTAAGGCTAGAAACGTTCAGAAAGAATACCCCACATGCATATTACATTAAAGTTATTTGATCAACAATATTTATTTACAAACAATTTTGTTTATGTTTAATATCGAAATATTCCATTACAGTTTTTCAAGTATCTACATAAATGTTTAAGTGGCAATCCTATAATACTTATTTGGAAAAGTTCATTCTAATTTGATACATATTTTCCATTAATAGTCATATTATTAGGAACACATTTACTCAAAATGCCGCAATATCGCTACAGATATGTATGTATGTATGTACATATGTATCAGAGGTTTACACCGCCGCCGTCGCCTAGTTATGAAAACGTATATCGCATACGCATACGTATACCAATAAAAATAATTTGCAAATACCTAACTCCCTGTTTATTCGACGGTGAAAATATTTTATTTAATATTGCCTGATTATAAAAAGGCAATAATATGAGCATCGGAAAAGAAAATAAAATTAAAAATGGTAACGTCTTGACTATAAAAAGGCAATAAGATGAACATCGAAAAAGAAAATAAACTTAAGAATGGCGGCGTCTTGCGCTTATTTGCAAAAAGTATCACTAATCAATACTTATTTGCGTGATTTAGTTATTTGCAAATAAAAAATTAACTCAGCGTTTATACGGCAGAGTTTACCATTTTGCAAATTGTTATTTGCAAATAAGACGTGCGTATAAACGTAGTAAATATTACATACATTTGTATGTATTTGTTTTATAATATACAGAATACATAATATACATGGTCGCCTAAAGTCCACTTCAAATGAATACATACTTAGATAGTACATATATAAATACCTCGTATATGCGGAATCCAAGGGATTTGGTTATTCTTTTTCCATTACTGCTTACTTTATTAATTTAAGTTATAATTAATAATAGGCATGTTTTATTCAACCATCACAAGCAAATAGCTAAATCTTGGTCAAATAAAACGAAATTAGCTTATTTCCTATGTTAGCCTAAATTTTGTTTGACTGCAAATAGTGTCAAAGTAAGTTTTTGCCTCTTTCTGATTGGCTGAAGGACAATGCCTCTTGTTCAATATACAAGCCAAGATAGCTTTTCATAAGCCAATATAATTATGTTGGGTAAGTCCTCCATACAAAATAAGCTAATAGCTTAAATTTCTGGACAAATAAAACACGGCTAATAATAATCTTACAGCAAGTAGGTTCAGTGAATATACCATTCCACAGTTTTGAAAAAATCGGTTTTTGGCGCTTTTGTAAACTTTATTTATCATCGTATACGCGGTACTTCGTTTGACGTATACGAGGTATTTCGCGCTGAGCGACGATATAGTTCAATAAGCCCAACTTTTTTTTTGTTTAATCTTAATCTTAAAATATAAACAATGCGGTTGTTCACGCTGATTAGGTATTCCATAGATTCTTGCAAAGAAATTGGAAACTGTGTACTTATTTGAAAACGTCATTCAGAGTCTGTTATTGTTTACGAAGATATTAGCATTCACACATATGCATCTAATACGGGAAGGCTGATTTTCTAAAATATGTATTTACATATTACACCCCTAAAAGGATTTATTTTTCAAAAATGCAAATAAAAATTGATTTTCTTTGGATTGTAAACTTTTTCTATACGAACTATATAAAAGAATTTGTGATGACCTGAATTGGTAATCTAATAAAAAAATTGGTTATTTTTCCTTAAATTTGGTAACTTTTTCGTCTAATCTTGGCTAGAAAGTTCTTTGAGCGGCGGCAGCACTGCCCATATTATTACTCCACAATGCACTGAGCTTCTTTAAAAAATATTATAGATAAGCCCTATTTCTGAAAGCCCTTTTAAAAAAATCCTAATATTGAAGAGAAAAACTAAAAACGAATATTCACTAAATCTGGTCCATAGCTTCGGGAGCAGTTTGATTTTTTGCGTGTTTCTGAATTTTTTGGTTTTTGTCGCCCGTTGTAATCATATCCAAACTGTATGAATTTTTTTATGTTAGGGGTATTCTCGATCCGTTGCATACTGTCTAGCATGGTGCATAGAAAGCACCAAAATATAATGACTTGATAACTTTGTTGTTGCTTCATGTTTTGCGTTCAAACAACAAACAAATTTTCTATTTATGCTATCTTGCTAGACAGTATGCAACGGATCGAAAATACCCCTATTATTTTTACAACTTTGTAAATTTTTTAATTGGTTTTGGTCTTTGATAGCTTTTTAAATAGGAAATTTCAATGGAAATCAAGCATTATAGTTACGGTGACCCTCCGTCCTGTATTTTGCAGGGCTATATTGTTATTCAAAGGTCTGTCCTGCGTAGTTTTTCAAATTAGCAAAACCTCAAAATGTTCTGATTTTTTCCAAGTGTCCTGCCTTTGCCCCGCATTTTATTCGCTATTTTAAAATATGTAAACCGCGGGAGCCCTTTACTTATCAATATATAAGCAGTGTCCATAACTGATTGATAACTACATGAGCACGAGGCTGATTTTGAAGCTTCAACGAGTAAATGCGTTCTCAATTTTGTGGGGTCAAAGACAATGGACGGCAAGAAAATGGCGATCAGCATGACAAGTATCAGTAATGCTGGATTTCCACTAGGCATTAAATGACAAATGATAAAGTCGGGCATTAAAAAAAAATTGTGTCATTACATTAAAAAAATAGTCATTAAGCTCATTTCCACATGGCATTTTTTTAAATGGCATACATTTTTTGCCATTTCAATGCCTATTGGAAATTCGGCATAACACTGCTCTACAAATTTTATACTAATCGCATTACCCTATATTTTTTCAAGCATATTTTGGTTCGATAAACACGACAAAATAGTACACAATTTTCCTTTCAAAGACAATTCGAGATTTTCTTCGAAAACGAGATTTTTGGCACTTTTCGGAGCTATTCGTCAATAACTCATGAAAAGATCTCCCAATCAACGTTAGCGATCTACAGCACGAAATGTATTGAAGTGCCTCTTACGAAAATATATAACTTGTGGCGTCGGCAAGAAAAAATCAATAGAAATCAACGGGAGTTTTTAGCCACTTGCACTGGTTTAACAAGAATTACATAACCGATGCTCTAAAAATTCAGACTAAACAGTACAAAATTTAGATGAAATTTTGTTGAATTTTTCTAAATTCTAAATACAGTTTGACTTGTGTGGTTTTGCTTAAAGAATGAACCATATCTTTAAGAAAAAATAACAAACAAATTTTGACTTGAAAAACATTGCAACAAAATTAAAACAAAAATCACTATGTATTTACTCACTTTTAATATATATATGTATATTTTCTTGTTATTTTAATACTACGTAAATTTACACATATGTATATGAAGGAACATATATATATTTTTTTAATTGTCCTGTATTTTCAATTCATATTTATGTTCACCGTAATGATAATAAACTTATTGGAAAAGTTCCGTTTTATGGGATTGGGATATTTCAAGTATTTTCGAACTTTCCCGGCTCTGCGCGGCCCCTAAATTCTATCCGATCGCCACCAAATTTTTGATTGGAAGCATTAAGCCTAAAATGAACTTTTTTAGTCCGGCGATTTGAAATAAATTTTTATGGTCCTGTCTATTGTATGCTTACATATATATTTGCAATATTTATTGGTAGATAATGTATATCCATAAGGAAGGCATGTGATACAAATTAAGACTTTTTACTCCACCATGGACCGATGCACCGCGGAGGTATTAAGATAGGGAAAGGTGGGTCGCCAGTTGGAAAAAGTTGGGCTATAGCCCGTTTTCTTACCAAAATTTGAAATTCGAAGTTATATATGTATGAGTGCGTGTACATACATATCCTCGTTTAAAATAGAAAACCGCGTATCAACAAAATGTAAAACCGCGTATGTGAGGTTGCATAAATTATTTTCTAGATAGTAAAAACACTCATATTTCAAAATGGTTCTCTTTTTATTACCTTCCTTTTATTAGCTCGGGCTGTAACTATGTAATATTGATGCGCCTAAAAGATGCAGCGATTTCTATTCTCAAGTTACATACCTAATGACAGTACGAATGGCAATTATAATAGGGAGGTTTTAGTTTTTTAAACTATAAGTTTATTTATAAAGCAATGGCATTTCTGGCTAGTATATTTCAGGACGAATGGATAAGGCTTGAGCCAAGAGCTTTTGTGAGCAAATCCAATTTTTGGCAGCAAATTTCAGTTACGCGGTTCTGCAGAATGACGATACGCGGTTTTATACTTTAAACAACGATATGTGTAATGGAGAGTAGCTGCTTTGAATTTTTGTCCAGTGGTTTGCTGGAGAGAGCTTTACCTTTCGTTACCTCAAAAATGCGGCTAGAGAACTGTGTTAGAATTCGATTAGAGAATCGTGAGAAGAGCACTAGACATTTCAACCAATTAGAAATCACCTGTAAAACACGATCAGATATCTAACCGCTTTCTCGATATTGACAACTAAGACCATTTTTTGTAGGGAATGATAAAATTTTCGCCGGTTTCTCTAAGCATCTTCTAACCTTCTAATAGAGAGAAACACATTAGAAATCAAAACGTTTTCCAATCGTTCTATAACCTACATGTTTGTTGGGAAGTAAAAGGAATTTAGGGTATTAACTTACATTTAAGGATTTTCTAAGCAATTTTAGGGAAATGTAATTAAGAATTGCTATGTAAGTTCTTTATCAGTTTACACCCAGCAAAAAACACGATTACCACAGAAACGAAAGTGGAAACGAGCTAGGCGATGGGAATCGCTTACCCTTTCGCTTCAAGAAGGCCTTATTTTAACATGGGCATGTCATTGGAGGTAAGCCCTTACCCGCAGCATTGCCTTCAAACGAAGGGAGAACGCATGGATAAACAGAATCCAGAGAAGCGAACAAAGAATGCATTACAGAGAAACTAATGTAGAATGCCTAGATAAGTACATACTTATTTATATTAAATTGAAATCAGAAAATGTCTTAAAAGATTAAAATTAATTAAAATTTTTATAAATCAGCTTTTATACATACATATGTATTTATTTAGGTATTTAGATTTTCTTACAAATCGGTATGTACATACATGCATATTTAACTAAGCTTAAAATTGTACTTCCTCACTCTTGTACTTCACTTCATTGACTGACTTCTACTTCGCTGCAAATTGAACAAAGCAAAACATGATTTTTATGCGAGACAAATTTCCACAGAAAGTAACGGTAGAAAAAGAATTTTTGGGTATTCATTCTATTTTTCAGCTGACTACGATGCAGCATTCTACTTTGCATTCTCCGAAATGAAGCAAAGAAGCGAAATAAAAAAAATATTGTAGGACATTCTACTTTGTATTCCCTGAAATGAAGCAAAGAAGCGAGACAAATAAAATATTGTAAGACATTCTACTTTGCATTTCCGGAAATGAAGCAAAGAAACGAATTAAAAAAGAAATATTATAGGACATTCTACTTTGCATTCCCCGAAATCAAACAAAGAAGCGAAATAAATAAAATATTGTTGGACATTCTACTTTGCATTACCGGCAATGCCTAAAAGAAGCGGAAAATTTTGAAGGCATTATAACGCTATGCCTTCTAGAACACGTTACCACTAAAAGCGATTACCGATTTTTTGCTGGGAGTTAGCCAATGTTAGTATTATCCAGCGTCGGAAGTGGTCATTTAAGATCAGTTTTTCTACGCTAGAGTCGATCTAGTAAGCTCGGAGACATAGTTAGCTCATAGACAGTGGGAAAGGTATTTTTTCGCACGTGATATAGTTGAAACCATGATAAAAACATAACAAGGTAAAACCATTGAGAGGCAGTCTGACGTTTGCCAGCACATAATTTAAAAATTCAAAACTCAAAATCACACACACATTCCCATTTTCAATCTCAAACAACAACAATTGTGAACAATTTCATTTTTTTATTCTCAATTTTATATGATTTTAAAATGTTGGCAAACGTCAGAAAAAAAATCATGGCCGACGAATTGAGAGAATGAATATACTTTGTAATGTTTTTATCATAGTTTAAAGTGTCGCTTTTTATCTCCAAAGTAATTGCTTTCATGTACATATCTGTCAGGAACCACAAGAAACACAAAATCACAATGAACTGGTAACTGTTTGGCAAGTTCCTAAAAAAATCCGCGCACTTGTAACAAAAACTTTATATCAATTTCTCGTTTTCTAAGCACACGTAATTATCGCAAATTACATTTTATTGATCAACCAACTTTGTATTAAGTGTTAATGCGTAAAGCTTTAGATTATTACAAACTCACAAATGCTCAATTGTAAGCCAAAAGCTTTTATAACACCGAAGACGTCCTGTTCATCGCGACCAGCTATAGAGGTTAACTTCCGTTTGACATTCTGTGCAGTGTCGTTGAATAACGGGAAAAAGCTCATGAGGTTATTGTGGCTAACAAAAGGACTTATTGCTTTGCGATCTGGTTTCCATTTCTCGGCTGTGCGTAAGAAGAGTTTATCATAAAATCGGCATTATACGAACATAGACGCATATCGTCGATGTTTTTGCAAAACCGCCCATCGCCATCGGCACTAAAATTTTACAGGAGAGCGAAAAAACGGTTTATTCTTTGAAGGCATCGCCTTGATAGGCGGTATTTTCTCTAGCTATTATTTTACAAATCTGTTGTGTAAATAACGATTTAACAATTTTCATGCATAAATCCCGATGCTTGGAGTTCAGGGTAACCAAATCTCATTTTTGCCACAACGGCGATTTAGGCGGTTTTGCAACTGGTCGATGGGCGGTTTTGCAAAAACATCGACGATATGTGTTATCACACTTATTCACCTGGATTCACAATAATCCCATTTATGACACCGTTATTAAAGTGAGCATACAAATCTCTGGCTTTGTTGAGAAATTCACTCGAAGATGTGACATGTTTAATTACTTCTGGCTCGACGGTAAGTATAATCGGAGTCGTGGCTACCCACACGCAAGTGGTTAAACTTTTTAATTCATCGAAACTACGGCTTAAAGAGCTATAAACCTCTGCAATTGTATTAAAATTAACCGTTTTACGAAATGTTCAAAAAACTGTACTCGGGCACTTTTCACGCCACTTACTACTTGAATAAAAGAATTGATATGCGATGCCAACAAAAGGTACTCCGTACTGCGTGGGCAATTTGGAAGTTATATTACGGAAGGATCTTCGTTTTTCATACAACCTCCAACTGGCGATGAGCAGCATAATGGCTGCCGTCAGGATTACCGATTGCATTGAAATTAGAACACTCATACTTGTAACCAGAGCACCGTAACCACGTACAGCGAAATGTACTAAATGTGAACAACTAAAACTGTAAATGTTAACTGCACACACTTATATATATTCATATAAGCATGCAACTATGTATGTATGTATGTAAAACTACCCTGTAGGGAAAGCTACTAGCTGTGAACTAAAATTCTACCAGTTTGCGTTTCAGCCAAACTATTTCCACGTTCCACAGTGCTGTGTCTCCATATAAAAAGTGGGCAAAAATAGAATAATGGACGGATTTGAGTAAAAATTCGTTTCTTGGTGGATTAGAGTACGGAGATTTCAAAAATCATTTTTTTTTTTACCTAGCTCTTACATTTTTCATGGAAACTGAGATTGAAACTGCAAAATTTGATATTCAGAAGTAGTTCCAATACTGAGTAGTTATTTTATTATTTATACAGGGCGTTTTCCTAATAATATTAAAGACTTCAAGGCTTCATTCTATGGCTTAATTCATGGCAAATAAGATTCCCTATATCTCTCTTACGCAAACCCTCTAGGAATGGCAGCTACTTTCATTTTGGTCCTTTTTGACGACAAAATGTTTTTTTAAATTGATTATATCTTTTGGTGTGGATGTCACACGCTTAAAAAATTTGATTCATTCAAGACGACAATAAATACTCAAAAGACAAATATAATTTTGTTTTCCTTTTTATTAGTTACTTCGCACGAACAAGAGTTGTTGCAAAATACTGAATCAAAAATTATTTGTTTTATCTAACGCCGTTTATTGAAAAATTAAAGTCATCATGCAGTCAAATTCCAAACTACTCAGCAAACACATTAGTTCATTGACTATATATTTTGTGGTGTATTCATACATGAATTGTGGTGTATTCATACATGAATTTTGTGGTGTATTCATACATGAATTCATTCATGAATTTCGGGTTGAAATCATACTAGTCAGAAAAAGTGTAATCTGTACTAGCTCTTCTATAAGTGTAATCTATACTAGCTCTTCTATCGAGCTCTTCGATGGAATAGTTTTTCAACAAATGCTCTACCCTTCGATTTTTTGTTCTCCGTGAAGCTTCGCAAAATTCTTCTTTAGAAGGTCTTCCCCGTTCAGCACATTTATCCTTATTTCCATTGGAATCCGGAAGGGAAAGGAATGTCCAATTTAGCCATTTAGAATATGTTTTTTCAAAAGCGCTTCTTTTGCGGCCACTATAATTCCACTTAATTTTCATCTCACTATTAAAAAGTTTTATTTTTTTATTCAAAAGTGCTTTGTCGCATTTAGCGAGTATTAATTTGTCTTCAAAACATGCAGATAATGCAGACACTCTATCTGATGGACGAGTAGAAATCCAGATATCAGCTAAAATTGAGTTTTTTATAATTGAATTCATATTAATATTAGTTTTTTCACTATTTTACGCTTCACTACACAGCACAATATTTTTTAAAAAGCTCTATAGAGTGGTTTCCTTACAGATTTTCTAGTTAGAAAAATTGTGTCTTAAGATAAAGTATGATAAATTGTATTTGTAGCAATTTTTTTTTTAAAGACTCCAGCTAAAGGCATTTTCATAAAAGAAAAAATATATAAAAAATACACAACTTTAAGAGGTTTTTGTGAGAACCTTATGAAATAAAAACAAAAACTAAGCCCAGATCCTTAATCTAGGATAAATTTCATTTCCAACGATACCAAACACGTTGATTTTTGCCCGCTCATACAGCACTGTGCGTTCTATCCTTTTTCAATGTTAGCAACCGGCATTTTTAACATTGCGATGTGCCACTAGTAATCAATTGTCAGGCTATGCATCAGCATCTACTAGTAGCATTATACAAGTTGATTTCATAGTCTGCCAATTCATCCCCGAAGTCGCGTGGTATGCCAGAGGTGTCAGGTTCAAGTCCTGGTGCAGGAAAAATTTGGCTATTGTTAATTTTTTTAATTTATTTTTTTATTTAGGGGTTTTAAATTTAATTTAAAAAAATATATATATTTTTTTTTTATGGCACAAGCATTTCTTCCCATATGTATGGGTTTTCTGCAATGCAATTAGATTTTCAAATTGGTTATTTATATTTAAATCGAAATAATAATTTTTACTTACATCAATTTAACTTAAAAACCTTAACCACCTCCAAACAGCCTCGAACCTGCGATCTCCGAACCAGAACCAGTAGTCTTCACGTGACGCCACAGCCGACTTTTGTAAGAAAAGCAATTAATGGCGTTTTTTTATACCCGAGCGCACTTGTGCACAAGGGTATATTAATTTTGTTCACATAACGGTTGTTTGTAACAGCCAAAACGAATCGAGATAGATATAGACAAATGTATACATAAATGATCAGGATGAAAAAAGAAATCGATTAAGCCATGTCTGTCTGTCCGTCCGTCTGTCCGTCTGTCCGTCTGTCCGTCTGTCCGTCTGTCCGTCTGTCCGTCTGTCCGTGTACACGATAACTCGAGCAAAAATTGAGATATCTCAACGAAATTTGGTATGTAGGTTTCCCTTAATCCAAGGTAGGTTGCTATTGAAAATGGGCGAAATCGGACTGTAACCACGCCCACTTCCCATATAACGGTAATTTCCAGAAATACGAAAACTGCGATATTTTAGTAACTACTGAAGATAAATCACTCAAAATTGGTATTTACAATAATTTTTTGACAAAAAATAATAATATTATACATTTTTGGAAAATGGGCGTAGCCACGCCCACTTATGGTTACATGTGTATATCTTGGTAACCGCTGTACTAATTTCTACCAAACTTGGCACAGTTGTCGGCCTTCGTACAGCATACAAAATCGCCGAAAATTTTTAAAATCGGACGATAACCACGCCCACATCCCATATAACGGTAATTTAGAGAAATACAAAATCTTCGATAAATCAGTAAATATTGAAGCTAATTTATTCAAAATTGATGCTTGCAACAATTCTTTACCAAGAAATACGTTTGTGATACATTTTTGGAAAATGGGCGTGGCACCGCCCACTTATGATCACATATATGTATCTCAGTAACCGTTCTACCAATTTGTACCAAACTCGGTGTGGTTATTGTGCTTGCCACATATAAGCAAACCGTTGAAAATTATTGAAATCGGACTAAAATAACGGCCGCTTCTCATATAACGGTAAATTTCAGAACTGCTTGAAACTTCAAAATTTCGAAATCTAAGGACTCTAATTTACTCAAAATTGATACGCCCCGGCTTACCATATAGCCGTAGCTTTCGGTAAGGCGAAAAACATATATTTAATACGTGCGCCGGGTATTTAATGTTCGGCTCTGCCCGAACTTAGGCTTTCTTACTTGTTTTTTTTTTACTTTCGCAATTCAAAGGCAGATGTCGCCGAATGCTTAAGTTCTTCGAAATTGTTGAACTGGTAGGCACATACTAGTTAATGATCTAGTATTTTTTCTAACTGGTTTGGCTTTTCACTGCAGGGTATTTACTTTTATTACAGACTTATTATATGAGAAATTAATAATCTAACAAGCAATTAGTGTAAAATGATTAGAATCGAAAGGTTACATACATATGGAATTTAGATGTACATATGTATATATATAAATGCATACATAAATATTTAATACTTGTGTACAGTTAGACTTGTGTAGGTTGAACACTGACTGTGCGGAACATTATTTTCTACTTGTGCCATTTTCCAACAAGCTATAAACCAAAATGCTTGACTTTCACTTAGAATAGGCCTTATTCATAAAGAAAAGAAAGAAAACTTCTGTCCCCCTGTCATCAAGGCAACCCGAAACTTGAATTTGCAACTTGTTGCTTTAATCGCTACCAAAGAAATGGTCATTCAGAAATAATACTTGTTAAATTTAATATAAAATAACCCATATGTATCTGTTAGCGCAATTCTGGCCAATTTTCGCTATAAGTGCAATTTTGGCATATAAAAGCAATTCGAAATCAATTTGTCAATAAAAATAAGAGATTTCCGGAAAAGTTATTTGGTTTCGTTCCAAATGTGCCTAAAATACGATCGCACCAACCAGTGATCGGACTTAATAAAAATTCTGTGTGGTAGATTTTGAAAAAAAAAGTGGTAGATTTAGAAAAAAATGCGGTAGATCTCAAGTTTCGGATCAAACTTTTTACAAAAATTAAAAAAATTCTGCAGGGTTTCACCCTAACTGAAATTTTTTAATTCGAATCTCTAGAAAAAAAACTTTTAATATGGATTTTGCCAATTTTAACGATCCTCAAGTAAAAGTAAACAACGCGTTAAAAACTTTAGGTGCACTGAAATGTGCTAATACCTTCACAAAACTCGCCGATTTTTTACATTTTCTTTACAAGTTATTTTTATAAATCATATATTTTTCAATTTAACACAATAAAATCACTTTTCCCGACGAAAAATTTAAGAACGAAAAATGGAGAAAATTCAATGTTTGACAGTTTCATTTCTCCTACCATTCGGCTTTGTTTACTTTTACTTGAGAAATCTCATCGCCGCCGGTAATGCGAAATCTTGAATATGTACTATCATTCTTGTTATTAGGGGCACAAATTTCGATATGATATGATATCATATCGATATTTTTGCCATTTGATACCGATTCCTTTCCCTCGAAAGTTTGCAAACGATATTTTTTGGAATCGAGTACCAGAACCCTTGTATCGTATCGAATCGTAAGTGTACATTACAAAGTTAACGTGAATAATTATACATTTGTCAAAACTCTGGTAATTGGGCAAGACTATTTGTATACAACTTTTTGTAGTAATATTTGAAATATTGAAAGTTAATTTTCCAAATTCCAAAATGAAAAAATGTGTCCTTACTAAAATTTCTATTGAAAGTGTTGTTGTTAATATTGTTTTTAAACATGCCATTTCTTGCAAATCTATGTCGTACTATAACCTTACTCACTTTGGAATTTATATGTAAAGCAATATGGATATATTTTGCGCTTTAAAGCGCAGAAATGTGTACTATTTTAGGTTGATATGTGGCGCGCCTTCAGTGATGTACTTATTAAAGTGCAAAGTGTTAATTCTTTAATAGAAAATGAC